ATAGAGACCAGATACATCATTGCTTAAATCTTTTGGGATGAAAAAACCTTGGTTGGATTTCAGAGGTACGCTGTTTGTTGCTGCTTCTAGCACTTCTAGTGGAGTTGAAGATTTTTCTTGTCCATCTTTCTTGGTGAGAAATAAAAGTTTTTACCAGCCTTGTAGGGAATATATTTTGAACCTTTTGAAAGATTTTCTTAGCAGATAGTGTGCCAATACTTGAACCTGCAGCCTGGAGGAAAGCAGATCTGAAAGAGTTTAGCTCCAGTCATTAATCAGAATTTTACAAGACCTCTGTAAGATTTTACTTGGATTTTTTTCAGGTGTGTTTTTTAAGGGATATAGAGCAAGAGTGGGCAACTCTGATCATGGTGGGCCACTAACCTTCATAGTTTGCAAAAGAGATCTAAAATCCCCCTATACACCTAAAGACTTTTATATCAGTATGTTGATGTACTCCCAACTGAAATGGATTATTGAGTAGGGGATTAGGGATTTAGTTTTGTGCATCATTCCCTATTAGCAAACTAACAATGTGTTTAGGATTATCGTGGCTGAAGCCATCAAACTTATATCAACAGAGAAGGATGGCCACGTTTAACACAGAAGCAATTGGCCAAGCTGTGTATTTAAGATTACTAATTATTTTTTTTAGTGGATTAATTTGCACTGATTACTTGTTCACCTATAGGATAACAATGTGCGCAAGCAAGTTATAAACATTGTAAGTTTTGATTTCACGCAGACTTTAAATAGTGCAGTATTTTGAAGGAGCACCCCCAATGTTTGCAGTGTTGTCTGAAATCACAGTGGACTTTCTCAAGTCCAATCAATCAATCAATAACGGGTGTGCAACTGATCTATACTCAACGTCTACAGAATACCCATAATGCAATGTAAGAGTTTGCGTGGCAAATGATTTTCTACATCTGATTAATTAATTCACAAAACTGTCCGGTGCACTCAATTCTCCAAATAACTCACTCGTTTTCATTCACTCATTTATTATGTAGGGAATAGTGAATAATGCACACTAGAGTTTGAGCATGTGAAATTCTGTTGTACGGCGCTGTAAAAATGGGCGAGATTAAACAAGATGATTAGACGTTTAAAAAAGCAGGCGATTGGTCCAAATTAAAAATTTTTGTCCAGAGAGGTCTTGTTTTGATCTTTGATTGGTCTCATGCAGACACGTAATGCGATTTCGCCGGTCAGAGTTCACTAAGCTTGAACTCAGCAGCATACTGCTAAACTTGTCGCATGAGCTTGTGTTTCCAGTCTGACGCCTTTGCGTGCATATGAATGGAAGTCTATGGAGCAAAAAGTCCAGTGTGACCATGGCTTTTGGGTGTAGGAGAAAATTTCAGATATAGCCAAAGGTTAAATATTTTAGGTGTGCTTAATTGGTAAAACTGCAGGTGTCTCTCTACACTCTCAGAAATAAAGGTACAAAATCTATCACTGTAATGGTACCTCAAAAGGTTCATTTTTGTTTTTAAGTCCTTAAAGGTACCTATTAATACCTAAAAAGTACAAATGGGGACCTTGTTGTACCTTAAAGGTACGAAAGGGTATCTTAAAGGTACAAAAGTGTACCTTAAAAGTACTAATGTCCACCAGTATGGTACTAAAGTGAACGTTTTGAAAAGGTACCACCCTTGTGACAGATTTTGTACCCTTATATCTGAGTGTGTATGGGACCAGTGTTGTCCATCTCTTTAACTATAGTAGACTACCTGACAAAAGTCTTGTCGTTGATCCCAGTTATATGAGCAACAAATAATAACTCATTATTAGTCATGAAATTAATCATGATTTAGGCTTACATTCAGAATGGGGGCATGCAAGAGATCTGCAAAGTGGAGGGCAACATCAACAGCCTGAGGTATCAAGACATTTGTGCTGCCCATTACATTGCAAACCAATGGAGGGGGCAAATTCTCCAGCAAGATAGCATTCCTACTCATACTTCAGCCTCCCCATCAAAGCTCCTGAAAGTAAAGTCAAGGTGCTCCAGGACTGGCCAGCCCAGTCATCAGATTATTGAGCATGTCTGGGGTACGATGAAGGAGGAGGCATTGAAGATGAATCCAAAGAATCTTGATGAACTCTGGGAGTCTTCCATGAACGCTTTCTTTACTATTCCAGATGACTTTATTAATCAGGGATTTGAGTCATTGCAGAGATGTATGGATGCAGTCCTCTAAGCTCATGGTAGTCAGACACAATATTCATTCTGTCTCCACTGCAGCATGACTTTATATCCTATACTGATGATGATTTCTGTTCAGTGACAAGACTTTTGTCTAAGCAAAGTCAGACCTTACTGTCCTAATTAAATCATTCAAAGTTGATCATATTTTATTTTGGCAAAATAATCGTAATGTAGTGGCCTTTGCCTTTTATGTAAGCCACTTCTGAAACCAAATGTTCAACCAGAAGACATTGTTCCTAAAACTTGGATAGGCGACAAGATTTTGGTCAGGTAGTATATAGGTGCTGCCATTGTTTTAAATGTATTTGAAGTTGAACATTCCTCTGTTGAATTTCATACGTTCTGATTGTTTTATTTATTTATTTTTATTCTGGATCTTGCATATAGAGGTTGTTTAGCCTTTTGTCTGCTATTGAGAAATGCTTTGGCAGCTTGAAACAGATAAAAATAAAAACAGTGGTCATGAAGAAGCTGTGTCTGTTTGCTATGGATTGGTGGTGTCTCGGTGAGAACCCGTGGTTGGATTTGGCTTTGAATTTTGACTTGGTCATGCAGAGATAGTGGAAAGAGATTAACTCCTGTCACAGTAGTTACAGATGCTGAATTGGTTGGAGGGCTAGAATCTCATGTTGTTGTCTTGTGCTGCTCCTGCTTGATCGACTCTGCAGATAAAGTCCCTTTAGATTATCTTTGTCCATCAAAGTCAGGCACCCAGCATAACATATGAGAGCTGTGGCCTTCGTTCCAGCAAAATCTGATTTGTTGCCAGTGTGGAGTGGGCAGAAACTAATCACAATCACTATATTACTGTTGTATTTCACAAAAAAAGTGTATGATTATGGTAATTGAACAGTAAAGCCATATTTGACTAGATACTAGAAGTGTGAACCAAGGTTATAATGATTTTGGATTTTTCATTAGTTTTAGTTTCTATTTCGTTTTACTTTTTATACTTTTTGTTTTCAAAATTAGCTAGTTTTAATTAGCTTAAAAGGGTAGATTTCTTATTTTTTATTAGTTTCTATATTATAAAAATGTCTTAGTTTTAGTTTAGTTTTTATTAGTTTCAGAATTAGTTTTGGTTTTTTTTTTCTAAATGAGGATATTTGTTAGGTGCAAGATTCAAAATCAACAGGATAAATATTGTATAATAAAAACTCAGCCACACATTTTTTGAAACATGTATTGAGAGAACACATGAACACTATCATCTACCACGACCATCTACCCATCCTCAAGTTAGACACACAGTAGTGATGGACAGGGCCGGATTAACTAATGGCCATTTTGGGCACAGGCCCAGGGGCCCGTCCGCACTTAGATTTTGCCTTCTCTTCATCACGAGGAAGACCAGTGGGAATCATTAATAAGTGTGTGTATTATGGAGGACACAAATTCCTAGAACTGGATTGGAGAGGTGTTATATCCAAATTATGTGCATTATACGTTTGTAGAAGTTATACATTAAAAATACCCTTAAAATAAATTTTAGTACTGCTTCAGTGAACTTGAACAAGTAAATTAAAATCAATTAAATTTCCCCTAGTTGTATTGGTATTTTTTTTCAAAGTGTGCTTTAAATGCTTTAAAAATAAGTTAAATCTTTGTAGACTAGAAATATATGTAGTGTATATCATTTATTTTAAAAATGTGGGCAATACATTATAAATTAATTGTATTTAACAATTATTATATTAATCTTATTTTTTAATTCAACTATGTAGTGGAGCTATAGTGGGCCTTCAAGACATTGTGCTCAGGGGCCTCTAAATTCTTAATCTGGGCCTGGTGATGGGAAATTCACATTTTTAATGCGGATGTTAGGACTCAACATTATCAGCAATAGTAATTTCAGTCAATTAAAATGATCTGAAAAATGTCTTACAATAAAGTTTTGCAACCCAACTGAATCATGATTTACTTATTTAAATTCCATTACAATTGTCTGTTATGAAATAAACTTTTATTTCTGAATTATTGAATTTTTAAGTATGAAAACATGTTTGAAATATTTTTCATTGAAATATTCACAGCTTAAATAAACAACTATGTTAAATTTCAGGACCTAAAAATACAAACCCTGGAATTCAAGTCATTAAAATGCAAGAACTTGTTAATATGGTGTATTATTTTTTTCAGTTTGTGCTATTCAACAAGCTTTTTAATTCAAGACTTTTGGCATTGATTTTGTTCCATAGAATTAAATGAAAAAAAAATTTTTTTTTTAATATTTAATAAAAAAAAAACATTTTAAGGTCGATATTATTAGCCATCTTAAACCATATTTATTTTAAATTTTAAATGCATTGCTATACAATGATTTACCAAATTACCCTAACTTCTGACTTCAACTGTATGTATACATTGACGGGAAGAACGAGAGCAAGAGTAAGCGATGTCAGAATTGTATTTTTAGGGTGAACTATCCCTTTCACCATCATCTAATAATAAATAAATGAATTCACAATGATGTACAGATTAAAAAAAATAGCCTAGATATGCACAAATCACCATTATAAAAACATTGCTTTATTTACCCCCTTCCCCCTTTCCGAAAAATGACAACAACAAAACGTTTTACTCATCCCGCTGTCTCCTTGCATCAGAGTTGTTTCAGAGGAGGTTGAAGCGTATTCTTCCGCTTACATTTTGATTCAAGTGTACTAATAGTCTTGAGCAGTGGCCTGGTTTGCTGTTTGACAAGGTTGTCAACCGGTCAGGTCTTGCACTCCTCCTGCCTGTCAGATCCTTTCAGCTAACATATCGGCCCCCCTATTTATTCCAGACAGATGCTGCTCTGACGTACGACGCGGTCCACATCGTGTCGGTCTCTTACCAGCACGCGCCACAGATGACTGTCAACTCACTGCAGTGTCATCGCCACAAACCCTGGAGGTTCGGAGGCCGCTTCATGAGTTTCATTAAAGAGGTAATGACAATCGCTCATGGCACTGCTGTCACAAACACTCCTGCTCTCCGGAGACAAGATAAGATATATTTAAGATATTGTTTAAATAATAGCATCTCCGCCGAGCACTTGTCATTGAAGATCATTTAAAGTGGTTCTTTTAGAAACGTCGTTCATTGTATGTTGCGAACCCGAAATGGATTTGTTCACTTCAGCAATGATTACATGTTTTTTCATTGATGTTTGAATCAATGTTGAGTTTAATAACTGTGCTTTTAGATGGCCAAGTAACAAAAGATTTCAGATTAAAGACAGACAGCACAAGTGCACTTTTTATTCTAAAGACTTTATCAAAGTTTTGCAGGATGTGATATTTTAGTATGATAAGGTATGACAACTTTAAAGTTGATTAAAGGTAACTTAAGGGGAAAAAGTGTTTACTTAAGGCAGGGGTGTTCAAACTCTGGACTGAAGGGCCGGTGTCCTGCATATTTTAGCTGTAACTGCAATTAAACACACATAAGCAGCCAATTACGCCCTTTCTTGGTGTAATAGAAACTTCCAGGGAGATTTGTTGAAGGAAGTTGGAGCTAAACTATGCAGGAGTTTGGACACCCCTGACTTAAGGGGAAAAATGTTTCAAGATAATATTATACCACATGTATTCAATAATCATGCATGCCCAGGGACCTAAACCATGTTTAAAAAATATACATATAATTAGATATTTACAGGGTTGGCGGCACAGTGGCTGAGTGGTTAACACTGTTGCCTCACAGCAAGAAGGTCGCTGGTTCGAGTCCCGGCTGGGCCAGTTGGCATTTCTGTGTAAAGCTTGCATGTTCCTATTGTGTTGGTGTGGGTTTTCTTCCAGGTGCTCCGGTTTCCCCCTCAGTCCAAACACATGCGCTATAGGTGAATTGAACTAAATTGGCCATCAGTTTTAAACGCTTAGTGTTTTTTAACTGGTTCAGATTTTTACTTGCCCTGCCAAAACTATTAAAGGCCCCACCAAAAAAAAAAAGAAGTTAATAGCTATTTCTTAGCCACATATTTTAGATACATACACTTTTTATTATATATATATAATTTAATGTCCGTCATTTTACAATAAATGTCTGTATTTTAAGTGTCAATATTTTTCTCAAGATGCCAGAAAAAAAAAAAAAATGAAAATATATATATTTTTTACATTGTATTGCCCTTATTCTCCGCAGACGAGCGGGCGCTGCCATTTGAATCTTTTTGGCACGAGACTTCCGGTCTCATTCAATTCCATTCCTTTTTAGACATTAAAAACTGCTCGTTTCGCTGTTTGATGTTGCAAACTGATATTTCCTTGTTATATTATTCTACTTGGTCTGTATAGTCATGCAAACATTTGTTTGTAGAGCAAGTAGTTTGACCGTTTTTTGCCGTTTATTATTCCTTGTCATTTCACCCATAGGCGACTGAAACGGAAGTTCTAAGACAATCGCGAAAACAGGCGCACTTTTATAACAAAATTTGCACTTTAATTTTGACACCCACAGACATATTAATCAGAGAGGTAAGACTTTCTCATACATAGTCTCATTTCATTTGTCAAGCTTTGTAAAACTCTGTTTAGTAAGTATAAGTATAGTAAGACCTCAAGTGTTTCCAAACATTTATGATTTTCCAGTTTCTGTTGAACAAAGATGGAATATATTTTATAAAAAATAAAAAACAGGGATGGTATTTTGTAAAATGTTACAAACCTGTAACCATTGACCCTTCACAGTAGGAAACACAAATACTATGAAGGTCAATGATTTCAGGTTCTCAAAATTTTTCAAGTGTAAGATGAGTAAATGACGTCACGTTACTTTATAAGTGACCTTCTTATAATTTTAGTTGTGACTAAAGTCCAAATACCTTTACTAATTAGCCATCAGTAAAATGTGTTTTTACCACTGATAGATATGGAAACATTATTCAGATATTATCTTTAGCCTTAAAGGGACTAAAAGTTCACCAAAAATGAAAATTTACTCTCCATTTGCTAGACCTCAAGAGTTTTCAAACATTTATGATTTTCCAATTTATGTTGAACACTAATGGTATTTTGAAAAATGTTAGAAACCTGATATTTAGCCAACATTTAACCTTCACTAATTAGCCATCAATAAATGTTTTAACTTCTAATAAATACGACAACATTATTCAGAACTTATCTTTATTATTAAAGGGACTAAAAGTTTACATAAAAAATAATTTTACTGACCATTTGTTTGACCTCATGTATTTCCAAACCTTTATGAATTTCCAATTTCTGCAGAACAGGGATGGTATTTTGTAAAATGTTATCGATACTATAGATGTTAATAATTATAAATTTCCAACATTTTTCAAAATAACTTTTTTGTGTGTGTAAAAAAACAAACAAACTCATAACAGGTTTGACAAGTGTAGGGTGAGTAAATGATGACAGAATTGTCATGTTTTACCTGATCACCGTTCACCATCCACGTTAATTGCCTCATTTAAAGTACAGTTGATTGCAGCTTAAAGTTTTCATTCGATCTGTTCTGGCACTGCTCCGCTAAATTCACAGTGTTCCACTTTTTCATCACCGTGTGCCTCGCACGCAAATGTGCTCGTCATAATCAGCTCTTCTTTCAGCTCACAAGAGAGACTTTGATTGGGACTCATAATAGGCAGATTAGAGTTGTTGAACACAGCTCTGTGGAGCCGCGTGTCAGAGAGAAGAGCAAAATGAAGGCCATGGAGTTGGCGTGGAGAACATTAGCCATGTTTCCATCTAAAGATGTGAGTTATATTTATACAATAAACTGCAATATCACATAAAATATTTGCGAATAAAGCACCGTTTCCATCCAACGAGTATAAGAAAACAAAATAGCCACTTCCTGATAAACCAAATGGAAAAAAAATGGAAGTTACTTCGTTAGGAGAAGGTCTTTTTTGGTATATAATAATTTACTTGTGTCTTAGAACATGTAGACATATCATATCATAGTCAAATCCTTTTAGAATCTTCACTTGCTCTTGGAAGATTCGCAAGTTCCGCCTATGTATTTCACTTCTTTCTCTTGTATACCATTTAAAAATGTTTAGACCTCATCAAGTCCCAAACACACATGTCACTTTTTGCCATTTTTGTTATCACCTGATCTGTTTCATAGATATATACACTAGATATTGCATACAGACCCTGAGCATGCATCAATACCGCCGCCATATTTGTACAGTGCTCCCACTTCATCAAGACTAAAGCCAATCAGAAGATGCTGGACTTTTGCGCTGTGTATGAGTGTAGTAACAAGCAAACAAAGAAAACAAACCACAAAGGCAGAACATTTCGTAGGTAAGATTTCGTTTTTGATGATTTTGTATGTTACGAATCTTTGTGATAAACAAGTATGTTATGTTATTGTCAATAAATCATCAATAAATGTTACTGATGATAATACAGCCACTTACTGCACTGACCATAAGGCAAAGTAGCACCAACTCACACTAAACACTAGGCTTATGCTAGTTTTGTTGAATAAAGTCAGCAAACAGTGTAAATGAAATATGAGAACAGAACGCTGCGGTTCCAGAAATGTGGATTATTGTTGGCTAAGTATTGCAACAGCTAGTTTTCGAAGTAACCTCTAAGGGTGCCTGATAACATAACAGTGCCTGAGCCTCAATGTACATACTGTCCACCCTAAATTATTGAATATTACAACTGTTATAAACTATTTAAATCAGAAAGGTGAATGTGCACACTGAGACGTAGTGATATTGATGGTTCATATGAATAGTTCGGGACAGGGATTCATTCATCCCTCCGTTAGAATGAGGAGTGAAAGCTGGAGAGGGGGTGTGTTTTAGGACATGGATTAAATCCAATTTAACAGGGAAAGAGGATAATACATTTCCGTGCACATAAACTCATGCCCTTTGTTGGCAATGACCGTGCGGTCACTTATCCATCACTATAGAAAAGTGATGTAAAATTATTATTTTTCGTAGTTTAAAAAAAAATTAGCATACTGACCACCGGGAAAACTCCCAATCATATATGTATATATGTGTATATATCTTGAACTCTGGATGGCCAATCTTCCACTGCACCTTGGTCCCACATTCATTTCAAATGAGCGCTACCCTGTACCAAAATGGAGGCTCTTTTGACGCATTCTTTCCAATAGACAACAATAGCGTAGGCCAGTAGTTCTCAGACTCTTTTCATCAAGTACCACCTCGGAAAAAAAATTGTTTCTCCAAGTACCACCATAATAAGCAGTATTGAAATAGAGTAGCGTAGTAGGCCCAGTAAAGCAGCTACAGCTCTGTACATTTCCAAAACGGGGCAGATTAATTCCTTCTATTTTATTGTTTTAATTCCTATTTATTTTTGTCAGCCACTTCAAACGTTATAAATAGTTTGAAAATTAACACTGTATTTAAAAAATAAAATAAATAATAATTATAAAAACAAACTAAAAACTTCAACATTTAAATTAAAATGTGATTTTAAACTTTAAAAATGACAGGTTACTGTTTTTAAAAGCTAAAAAAAAAAACAAATTCTGTACTTAAATGTAAAGTATTAACATGTAGCCTATTTATCAACACCTGGAATTGTTGCCTGGACCTCATAAATATAGGCTATTTGTCTTCATATTCATACATAAGATCATTTGATAGATTGATAGATTTTTAAATATATGTAGCATGTACATATGACCTAATTAATTCCTCCACGCACCCCTAGAAGGAAGCCTTCGTACCACTAGTGGTACACGTACAACAGTTTGAGAACCACTGGCATAGGCGACATCTAATGTAAATATTTTTGAATCTGTTTAAGAATTTTTTTTGATGCACATGCTGGAATTTATCTGGTATTTATATGCATTTCCATCGTAGTTTATGCACATTTTTTTCAAATTCGCAAAAGTTACTTTAAACTTAAAAAAAGAAATATGCACGTTTTCAAAATTTATGTGCATCTTGGCATTTCCATCCAGGGTTTTTTATGCGATATTCCAAAAATGCACATAAAAATAGGTGGATGGAAACTTAAGTGACTAAGTTTATGAGAGCTATTGTCTCTCATAGGCATACACACTTTCCTGCGAAATATCCTCGCTCATGAACAAGAATGGAGGTGTTTCATTTGGAAGAGGTTACGGCGAGGCCTGCAGATCAGTGTGTGTTATTTGAGGGAGGAGGTCTCAGTGTGAGGAACGAAGGGGGGGATGGAGAGGAGGAGTTGCAATGTAATTTTTTTTTTCTGTCTCTAGAGACTGCTGCAAGTGAGATGGTCGTTAATTAGGACTGAGGTCTTAGGGGAAGCTGTGTCTGAGGCGCTGGGATGTAAAATGTAATTAAAAAGGAAATAGAAGCTGCAAGTGTGTGGTTGCGAGAGTGTGCGTTTGTGTACGTGTGTGTGTGTGCGTGTGTGTGTGTGTGTGTGCATGTGTGTGTGTGCGCCATACTTGGACAAAATACGAAATTGAAGAACTGGCCTTGAGTGGGAATTGGAATGAATTTGGACACAAACCATAGGATGTTGAATTGGAATTGAAATTAAAATTATACGTTTTTTTTGGCATCGCAATTTAATAGATTTGTTATTAGCCTAATAAATCATACATAATTACTCAATTCTTTTTGACATGTTCCCCCATTTTGGCTTAATATGTAGAAGGCATGATCATCAACTGCAAACTTTGACCAAACTACGTTTATTTTAAACTTCTTCAGTGCTGTCAAAACATTTAAAGGCACTGCTCACCCAAAATTAACATTTACTTAACATTTTTTTCAAACATTTGTAATATATATTTAAATTAACACATATAATAAACATGTGTTAAATAAAGCAAGTTAATTTATTAAATTTAATAATGAACTAAACCTAGTTTTTGGGGAAATTTCGCATTTGGTTACTTTTCAACTCAACCTAAAAACAACCAAATATCAACATCTAGTGATGTTATAAATTGACATTGTGTGGGTGGTACCCCCATGACATCTATCATACTTTGGATTTTGGTTGCCATACCAGACGAATAGATGTCAGTATTTGACGTGAATATGACGTTGGTTTAAGATGTTGGCATGACATTGGATTTTGATCATTTACCAACGCAACCTAAAATCAGTGGTGGATTTAGGCATGGGCAATATGGGGGATCGGATAGATGGATGGCACGGTCGTCGTTTGCCTAGAGCTCCAGTTAGGCTTGCGCCGCTCCTGCCTAAAATCAACAAAACATTAACGCTATTTCACGCCAATATTGGATGTCAAAATAGCATTGTCCTTAGACACCGGCGGATGTCCAATACGGATGTCCATAGAGCAGTGGAAATTAATGTGCACGCGCACTGACTTTATAACAACACTGTGTGTGACTCATCATTGCAGAAAGGCTTGAGCTACAAATACATCAAATAACATATGGGAAATTTCATATTGTAATAAGCGACTCTCAGTCTTGTCTGTCACTGTGCTGTTCATCTACTTAAAGCCCATAGATATTTACATTAGATATCGCCTACGCTATTATTGTCTGACTCGTTCACTTAGCCGACAATAATACAAGTTTCTAGCACTGTAGTGTCTTGTTGTCATATTTCATTTACATTGCTTTCTGAATTTATTCAACAAAACTAGTAAAAGTCTTGATTTTAGTGCGAGTTGGTGCTACTTTGCCTTATGGTCAGTGCAGTAAGTGACTGTATTATCATCAATAATGTTACCTGTTTAGCACAAAATTGCATAACATACAAAAACGTAAAAAACAAAATCCTACCAAATGTTCTGCCTTCATGCTTTGTTTTCTTTTGTTTGCTCGTTACTACACCTGTTCAAAGCACTAAGGTCCAGCATCTTCTGATTGGCTTTAGTCTTGACTAGTGCGGTTGAATGACATTTGTCCTGGGAGCACTGTACAAATGTGCAACCCCAATGACGCATGCTCTGGGTCCATATGCGATATCAGGTGTATATATCTATGCATAAAGGCTAGTCACATCAGAGTGATCTCTGTGGCTCTGACACGCACATGGAAACTGTGGGCGGGGAGAACCAGCTCATTTGCATTAAAGGCACAGGCAACAAAAACAGCTACAATGTCTAAACTTTCCCACATTGAAAAAGGTATAATAAATATTCTGATGGGTAGTTTGAGCTGAAGCATTTCTGGAGACACAAAAGACTTATATTAAATCTTGCAAAGGGGGTAAAATAGGTACCCTTTAAAGTGTAAACCCAAACAACTCACCCACTCGTATAACCTCAAAAATAGAAGTGAATTAAAATACTAGGTGTAAACCAGAATGTGTTTCAATCATCATTTTGTGGTTAAAAATGCATCTTCATACACTACTAGGTATGAACTGAGCCTTATTTAAATTAAATTCAAATTAGGCAAACTGGACTGAAATTAAATCAGTTTTCAATTAAATTCTGAATGGTCTTAATTGATGGAAATCTCTCTGTGTTTCTTTGAAGTCTCACTGGGATGGCCTGACGGGGCGGCTGTGCTTCAACAGAACCACAGGTCTGCGCACAGACTTTGATCTTGACATTGTGAGTCTTAAGGAGGACGGCCTTCAAAAGGTAAACCACAACACAAACACAAACACATAACAACTCTCGAATAGACACAACGTAGAGCACATATTTGATAACAAACATTGTGTTATGTCTTAAAGGACCAGTGAAGTGCTTAGAAATGTGCATTTTTTTAATCCGATATTTGACGTAATCTCATGATTAGAGGGTGGGACGTAGAGTAGCTCCTTCCCTTTATGAAAAACAGCCAAGGGAGTTTTGATTTTCTCAAAGCTCTGCCTATGAAAGCGGTTGAGCTCAAGCACATCAAATGAAAAGCAAACGAGAAGAAGGGGCGGGGTGTGTCATGCTAGAAGACATTTCATTGGTCAGGATTTTATGAGAAGTTATGTGAATAAATTGATTTATTTTAGTGGAAGTGACAAACAGCAAGCTTTGGATGTTTAAATCGGTTTTATATCTTCTAAATAGCTAATTTCTCACTGTATTAGCCAACTCAAGCTCATTCTGGAAACGTAGCCCCGCGGACGTTTCAGGAGACTGCGATTTACGTGGTCTGAGGTACGTAAGGCCGCGTTTTGTTTTTTTTCGAGGGAACGCTATGGGGCGGTGTGACGCCACTCCTCCTATTCGCGCTCGCTGGCTGATGGCTCACCTTTGTGTGGAGGGTTACGTCGGCGGACAAAACCTGCTCGAAAACGTACATCCTGGGACGTATTTTGCGGTCTGCAGAAACGTGACCTGTTTGAAATGTTTCCACAATGAGCCTGGGTTGGTATTAGCTTATAGACATCCACAAAACTAATATAGTAATTCGAACATCTAAACTTTATTTTAATTTTATCGGACCTTTAAAGTTCTTCTTGCACAGATCTGTAACCAGGGGAGGATTCAGGTGGTTCTAACGTGCCCATCATGTACTTTTTGTACCCCTACCCCCCCATTAAACTATCTAAAACTGAGCAGTCTTTTGCTCCTTTTATGAGCTCCTTTGTCCTGATTTCTCAAAAAGCATATTTCTAAAGGTGCTGTTGACTTGAAATTTTCACCAGTTGTTGGTAACAACCAAGGAAACCCTAATATGCAAATAAAATAAAACGAATTAGTTTACAAATTAAGTTATGTGTAATTAAATGAGAAACGTGTAAAAAAAGTGGACAAAATTAGTAAAAGTATTTGAACACATGAAGAAATGGAGGTGTAGAAAGGCAGTGAAAGCCCAGACAGCAGCTGAAATCTCTCAGTAGTTCTTCACCAATCCTCTGGCCTTCATCGTTGTAAATTAATAGCTGCTTCAGTCCAACATCTACATTAGCAGGAGGATGAAGATGAAACCTGGGTGGACATTTCAGCAAGACAATGATCCAAAAAAAAAAAAAAAACAGGGAAACTCTCAAATGCTTTCAGAGAAAGAAAATCAAGCTGTAGAATGGCCCAGCCAATCACCTGATATGAATCCAATTGAAAATACAAAATAAAGCTCAGATTTGATTGACGAGACCCACAGAACCATCAAGTTTTTTTTTACACTCTGTTGAAGCCAGAGCAATACATGTGATTTTTAATCTCTATATGAGAGGCATCTTTAAGCTGCGGTCACCAAAAAAGCCTTCTATATAAAGTATTAAATATATTTCTGTAGATCAGTACTTTCTTCTTGTGTCATACCATTGCTATTACACAATTATTTTCAGATTTGTTTTTTGTTTTCTTTTATTTTTATGTTTGTATTGTTTGGGTTTTTAACAAAATTTGGTTAAATTTCATGCCAGCAGCTCCTTTAGAAATATTATTTACAGGAAAACACATAACATGTTCATTATTTGCAATATCATTCATTCATTCATTTTCTTATCGGCTTAGTCCCTTTATTAATCTGGGGTCGCCTCAGCGGAATGAACCGCTAACTTATCCAGCAGGATTTTACGCAGCGGATGCCCTTCCAGCCGCAACCCATGTCTGGAAAACATCTACACACACATTCACACACACATTACGGAATTTAGCGTATCCAACTCACCTGTACCGCATGTCTTTGGACTGTGGGGGAAACCGGAAACCACACGAAGGCAGGGAGAAGATGCAAACTCCACACAGAAACCCCACCTGGACAAAAGTTCAAACCAGCGACCCTTCTTACTGTGAGGCGACAGCACTACCTACTGCGCCACTGCCTCGCCTTACAATATCATATAACATTATTTCTAAAAATGTAATATAAAGCTTACAAATTAAATGCATATTTGTAAATAAATATTGTAGTTGTAAAGCTGTATGGTAAGCAATTATACACACTGAAAGAAATATATACTGTAATACAACTTATTAAATATTTTAGTGCAGAAAAAAAGGCATGCACATTATGATACCAGCCGACAAAAATAAATGCTTATAATGTGACAAAAAATAGAGAGTTTTGAGAAAAAGAACCACCCATTTCACCAGGCTGGCTATGGGCCTGGGCACATATATGATAACAAAGCTCTTGTTCTGTCTTAAAGCTGTTCTTGCACAGCGGGAGGGATGAAATGATCAAAAGCTGTTGTCTTCAGCTAATGCGTGCCTGTTAAACAACATGCAAGAACTCATTTTGTTTTGCATATTGGATTATGCCAGAAACTCACATGCTGCCTCAAAACAAAACAGCAATGTGTCTAAGTATTGTTTCTTCCCTCAAATAACCTTCAGATGTAGCAGTAACTGGAAACCTCTTGCACCTTGTCTCATTCGGTCACCGTTGCTGTGCAAATAAAGAGCAATTTGTGTCTTCCGTTTAATTTACCTCCTAACAAGGAAGCAAATGAGGTGTTTAAACATAAGCATAAGTTAGTGGATCATAAAGCAAATTGGATTAGTGTACAAAGCGCTGTTAATTACAAGCCTCCGTTAATGACCAGCTGAAGTTTCTCGTAGCATGCTTTGCTGCTGCAATGGGGTATGCAAATATATGTGGAATGTAATGTAAAGTCATGTAAGATTAGAACTGCTGTTTTATTCATTAGTCAATGAATTATCAGGTAAAGTTGGACAAAGTTCAAAGCAAAGGCTGATTTTTGGCTCATTTCCACTGACTGGTACAGTACGGTACGGTTCAGGTCGATACGGGTCACCTTTATCAGGCTTGCATTTCCACTAAACAGATGCTTTATACACATAAAAACTTGTGTATAAAAGTTTATTACTAACTTTTCTATGAACAGAAGTTTATTATAACTGCAGATCAATGACAGTGCGAAATAGCCTACTGTAACGTCTGTAATTATATTAAATAAATAAATAAATGCAACATATATGAACACATACAGCCCCTTACAGCCCCCGTTATGTTGCCAACTACAGAAAAACTACACACAGCAGACATTTCGTCCTTAATTTGGTTCAAAACAACAAAAAGTATAGCCTACAGTCAGTGAAAACCTCTCATCTGTGTCTGCAATCTTCAGCAGCACATGTGGCCTCTGTTAGAGAGTCATTCCATCCTTCCCAGTTCATATTTCTCCAAAAGGTGATGATAAAAATTAAAACAAGGCAGTTTGTTCACGTTTGCTGAAGAGATAACGTGCTACTTGGCTTCTCCTTTTTTCCCGCGCTCCACTCTCGCGTTTGTCCTTTTCTTTCTGAATGTTTCATTCTCGCGTTTGTCAGCTTCTCACAGAATCGGGTCTCCAAAGCTTGTCAATAATCAAGCGCACATTACTATTATCAGCTCAAGAAGTTTGTTATTTATACAGATATAGGCGAGCGCAAGCAAGAAAGCGAAACCGCTCGCTCCTCAGACTGACTCGTAAAAAACTCTGAGGCACAAGGTAGATTCTGCTCTACTCCAAGCCTTGTGGCCATTCATCAAGAAGACGACAAGGTTTGAGCCTGGATTGACCATTATATGTATATATAATCCTGCTGTAATCTCTCGCTGTGTATTTCAAACATGGCGGGTCCTTTGTTTACATTCTGGCTTGTTGCGTAAGTTAATGACGTATCTCAGTAAACCAATAGCGTTCAGCTGCACGTCTAGCTCCGCCTTTTGGTACCTTTTCTTGTGTTTGGAACCGTTTCGAAAGGGTGCCGAAAAAGTGGTATGGTGCGGTTTGGTTCGGTATGCCTTTTGACAGTGGAAACGGCCATAAAAGCGTACCAAACCGAACCGTACCGTACCACTCAGTGGAAAGGGGCCATTATACTTCTGTGTCGAGTCATCGGCATGCGCATGCCTTGTATGTAGTTTTTTATACTTCTGCATGCTCTGCAATAACACCTCCAAAACGCTAGCTGGCAGAAGGTTTTCATGTTCCTCTGTGCCATGTTTCTTTGTGGGTGGTTTTGTTTTTTTGAACACCTCCTTAATGTACCAGTAGCTCAAACTTGCTCATTCAGAGGCAGGTACCATGCGATAACTTAAATCATAAGGTAAACACAAAACAACGATGCAGTGGCATAGTAGATAGTGCTGTCACCTTGCAGCAAGAAGGTCGCTGGTTCAAGCCTCGGCTGGTTCAGTTGGCGTTTCTGTGTGGAGTTTGCATGTTCTCCCTGCGTTCGCATGGGTTTCCTGCGGGTGCTCCGGTTTCCCCCACAGTCCATAGACATGTGGTACAGGTTATTTGGGTAGGCTAAATTGTCCGTAGTGTATGAGTGTAAATGAGTATGTGTGGATGTTTCCCAGAGATGGGTTGTAACTGGAAGGGCATATGATGCTTTAAACATGTGCTGGATAAGTTGGCGATTCATTCTGTTGTGGCGGCCCTGGATAGATAAAAGAGCTAAGCCGAAAAAAAAATGAATGAATGAAACACAAAACATCTGGAGCTCCTTCACATGACTCAACACTAAAGGTTGGCTCCATCGGCACGCATTCACACGGGGCTTCAGAGTCAATGCTTGACGAAGGGCGTGTCTGAAGTTGGGGTTGATGTGACTGTCATAGCAGCGTCAGCCAATGAAATTTGTCCCCAATTGGCAACTGAGCTGGGGTATTGCATAAAGCGCTCTGATTGGCTGACACTGATATGTTGGTGCTTAAAAAGTTGAGAATTTCCCAATTTTTGAAGCAAGCAACGCCACTTAAGTGGTGCCGAAAGATCCAAGAGGCAGCTGACATCACCCATTCAAAGTGAATGAGAAGTGTTGGCGCTGATGCCCCATGTGAATAGGGCGTCAGGCTCATGGCTTTCAGCCACTACCAAGCTGATCAGTCACAGAGCTTGAGCTACATGTCGTTGCAACGTGTAGTTACATTTTTTGAGAGGTGCACGCCATCGTTGCCGTTAGCCACGACAAGGGCTATGCAACCGCACAAAGGCTGTGCCGTAGCATAAGTTGACGCAAAAGTATAAATCAGCCTTAAAATACAAAAAAAAAGCATATGTATTTTATCAAACCTGATCTCACTAACTATCAACTATTTGAGCCTCGACTGGGTCAGTTGGCATTTCTGTGTGGAGTTTGCATGTTACCCCGTGTTAGCAAGGGATTTATCCGGGTGTTCGGGTTTCCCCCACACTCCAAACACATGCGCTATAGGTGAATTAAATAAGCTAAGTTGTTTGTAGTGTATGTGTGTGAATGCAAGAGAGTATAGGTGTTTCCCAGTATTGGGTTGCGGCTGAAAGGGCAACTGCTGCGTAAAACATGTGCTGAATAAGTTGGTGGTTCATTCCGCTGTGGCAACCCCAGAATAATAAAGGGACTAAACCGTAAAGAAAATGAATGAATTAATATTTTTAAAGCCATCTGCACTCTACAGAGTGAGAAACCTTCTCATCTGTTAAACTGAACAGGCACACTTTCAAAAAATGCAATGTGAGTGCAGGCTAAGGGGGAGAGGGGAGGAGGAGACAACCACATGAAGTGAAACATTCATCTAAGGCTTAAATCTAAAAGTGCACCATTTTTAAAACTATTGATTCATCTATAAAAGAGTCATAGTAGTTTGAATGAATCACCGCTGTAACGAGTCTTTAGTGGTGTTAGCGTGACGTTGATATGAAACCCCCAGCCCCGCCCTCAAATACTGTAGCAGATCCCGATTGAATCATGTCACAAAGACGCTGTTCTCTGAAGTGTGAGCGAAAGTTAGTGTTATTTTCCCGACCCAAAGATGAGGCTGTGAAGATTCGGGGTTGAAGTTTATTTTTGCAAAAATACCTCAGCATTATAGCCCCAGCCTTGTGCTGTGTTCCCGTCATTTTTCTGATGAGTGCTTCAGCAATCTACACACTTACAAAAGGGGATTTATCGGCCTAGAAAAGACTATTGATGTATGGGACTTTTCAGAGCTTGACAGGAACTTTACAGTACACAGTTTACACAAGTGTCAGTAACTTAAGTGCGATTAAAATAGTTGCCTCCTTGTGTTGTGTAGCTTGCAAATTATGTATTTAATTGTGTTTTGTTAATTGTAACCACACCACGTGGCTTTTACTGTATTTGGTTAACTCTTTATAATCTCATATTGCATCTAAAGCCACGTTGAAAACGCGACACATGCCGCTTTGTTTATGGATTTAAATGCATCAATTGTCATTGCTATAGCCACCGTCAGCTGTTCCCTCAACTACTAAAATAGTTCAGCTTTTACCACTGTGTTGATTAATACTGAATTTGTGTCACTATTTTTACTTATGGTTAAAAATAGAGCAATCTGTTGGTGTTTAACTGCATTGCATTAATGCACTCCTGCATTGGGCTCACACATACACTCTGCACTCTGACTACTTCCACAATGTTGATAAGCCATGGTGGGCATGGTCTCGCACTGAACGCAATCGACCAATCACAATGGACTGGGTCATCGGCTCAATCAGTGTAGATTAGCATCGCGCTAAGGAGTTTGGAAAGTGTTTCAGTGTCAAAGACAATGAAAGTGTTTTTTGACCCTGCATGCATATCAGACTGTTGTTGGAGACCCCTAAAACCAAAATATGACCCTTTTAATGCATAATAGGGGCTCTTTAAATCATATGCATATGTAGTAAGGTGTTGTCAGATGTTGTGGAACTCTGAGATTTGGGCTTTATGAATAATATAAGTTGTGATGATGCAGAAGTGGCCAGCCCTCCAGACAGAGATAGATACGGACAGCTATGTGGCTATTTGCAGGAATGATTTGTTGAGGAGTGACTGAACAATATGCAGAACTTCCTCTTTCTCGCTGCAGGGGATTGTTTGTGCAAAACTAGCTTAATTTGCTCAGATTCGCTGTGTGCTGATATTAGCGGGATTATTCACAGTACAACTATTTCAACTCCCTCCGCTGTCTGCCTCTTACTGCGTGTGTGTATGTGTGTGTATGCGAGTATGTTTGTGCTTTAATTAATTGTAAGCTCTTTTTTTTCTTGGTCATGTTTTGATTCTAATATCCCTCGAGTCAGATAGAAGAGTCTGGCTGAAATAGATTCACTGATTGATAAATCAACCGAATTGGTCCCACTGCAGAGTTAAACAAATAGCTTAAGATAAAACTGAGCTATACTTTTTTTTTTCTCATAAGTGCCGTTTTTTAAAATTTTTTTATTTGGATAGTGTGGTTACGTTATGTGATTTTTTTTTTAATGACTCACTACATGCTTAATTTGTTTTTGTTTTTTTATTTATTTATTTATTTATATATGTATGTATACAATCATTTATTCATACAATCAATTATATATATAATTTATGTATTCAAACATACATACATTTATTTATTTATTTATTTATTTGTTTATTTTTGACAAACAAATGCAGTGATAAGTTCATATCTTACGATATAATATACATTTTTATATTAGAAGCGAAAAATAACTAAAAACATATTTTTGTAAACAAATATTTATTTATTTATTTACTTATATTTACATTTACATGTATATTTATAGTTTTTATTAATTAATTTATTCATTATAAAAGTCATTTTTATATTTAGATACAAAAATAACTAAAACATTGTTTGTATACACATATTTATTTATTCACATTTATATTTATTTATTAATATTTACATTTATATTTTTATTCATTTATTTGGTTATTTTTGATAAATATATACAGTGAACAGTTTACAGTTTATCTCATTATACAATAAACATTTTTATATTTAAATACAAAAATAACTAAACATATATTTTGTGAACAAATTTTTATTTATTTATTATTCTTTTTTATTAGTTTATTTATTTATTTTTGGCAAACATACAGTGCAAAGTTTAAATGTCACTATATAATACACATTTTTATATTTGGATACAAAAATAACTAAAACATTTGTTTGTAAACAAATATTATTGATATATATATATATATATATATATATATATATATATATATATATATATATATATATATATATATATATATATTATTATTATTATTATTATTTATTTTTATGTATTTTTATTGCTTTTTATTTATTATTATTATTTATTATTTTTTTATTAATAATATTATTATTTATTTGTATGTCTTTTTATTGCTTTTTAATTTATTATCATTATTATTATTATTATTATTATTATTATTATTATTATTATTATTATTATTATTATTATTATTATTATTATTATTATTATTATTATTATTGAGACAGTTCATTCCATTGTGGTGATCCCTGATAAATAAAGTACTAAGTTGAAGGAAAATGAAAGAATGAATTATTATTGACGTTTGTAGAAATTAAACAATTGAATGTTTCATCTAATGGAAATCTGCATGTATAGAATGTTTAAAAATGTTTCAATCTATTTCCATGTTTTTTTAACAGTTATTTATATTGATTTGAGTGCCAAACATTAATTATTGTATGTTGCTGTTTTTTCTTTTTCTTTTAAACTATATTCATGCGGCACAGATTTACAGAGTTTGCAGTTTTCTTAGAATCAAACCATGCAGTGATTTGTTTATAGATAATGCTGCATATTAAGCTGGAATAGGAGTATTCGGGCACCGGAAAAAAAGCACCTTTAATAATAACAGCACTACAGCATTATCAGATTGTACGTTCCACGCTTTTTCCTTTGTTCAACATTTTCTTTGGCGAAATTGAATTGGGAAGCAATCTCCTTTTGGTGGAATTGTCCTTCCTCTATGTTAATGTATTCAGAGTGTATGCAAGGGCCTGGATACTCCAGCACAACCCTATTGGCATAAAAACACAAGAGCCAATCAGCTAATGCTTCTGGATGAGCTCAGCACACGGCCGCTAATGCACTTTTTGCAATGTGGATAGGTCACGCAGGTAAGCCAAACACACTCTGAATGAACAAATTTCATCTTTTTCTAGGTGGGCAAGTGGAGTGCATCCGGAGGGCTCAACATCACAGAGGTTCCACGGCAGAACGGCATGAACATCACAGATTCGCTCTCCAACCGCTCGCTGGTCATCACCACCATACTGGTAAGGTCATTAGACGGCGCATGCAGAAATCTGCAGAATTTCCTGCCCATTATTGAGTCTATTTGTCATTAACTTATGTAAATGTGTGTAAATTAGTGATGTGTGGATTTATTTTTATTGTTGTTTTATTATTATTATTATTATTATTATTATTATTATTATTATTATTATTATTATTATTATTATTATTATTGTATTATTTTGATTATCATTATGATTATTTTATCATTATCACTGTTATTTATTGTTATTATTATT